CATTTGTAAAGTTCTACTGGGAACTTGATATTGTGAGAGAGACAGCAGATTGGCTTCTGTTTTTTTGGGTTTTGTTTTTTTAATTAATAGACTGTATTTTTAAGAGCAGTTTTAGGTTTACAGAAAGTGTGAGTTGTTCCCATATAGTCCCTCTCCCCACCCTGACCCCCACCACCAGTTTCTCCTATTATCAACCTCTTGCCTTGGGGTGTTGAACTTTTAGAATTGATGAACCAATATTAATGCATTATTATTAACTAAAGTCCATAGTTTACATCTGTGTTCACTCTTTGTATTGTATAGTTAGAATGGGTTCTGGCTGATGCATAGTGTCGTGTGTCCATATCACAGTATCATACAGTTTCACTACCCTGGAGTCAGCTGTGCTCACCTGCTCACCCCTCCTGCCCTCCCCAAGCCCCAGCCAACCACGGATCTTTCTACTGTCATCATAGTTTTGCCTTTTCCGCAGTGTTATATAGTAGGAATCCTGTACTATGTAGTCTTTCCAGCCTGACTTCTTTTAGCCATATGCATTCAGGTTCCTCCTTTTTTTTTTCATGGCTTGACAGCTCATTTCTTTTTAGTGCTAATGCTGCATTGCAGGATTGGACCAAACTTTGTTTACATTCACTTATAGAAGGATGTCTCAGTAGCGTCCAGTGTTGGGCAATTACAAATAAAACTGCCATAAACATTCCTATGAAGTTTTTCATGTGGACGTAAGTCTTCAAGTCATTTGGGTTAAATACTTATTTACCTCTGCTATTTTAATTAGCTGAAGGCTAATGTCAGGAAAAAATATGTTTAAAGGCCTTTATACATTTTTTTAAATTATATCATTGATATACAATCTTATGAAAGTTTCACACAAGCAACATTGTGGTATCAACATTCACCCATATTATCAAGTCCTCACCACCCCCCTCATTGCAGTCACTATCCATCAGTGTAGTAAGATGCTATCGAGACATTACTTGTCTTCTCTGTGCTGTACTAAGACCCCTATACATTTAAAAATCAACCTAAAGTAGGTTTTATAGCTTTCTAGAAGCTATAGAATTATATATAGCATTATATCTATAGCTAGATATAGGGCTATATAGAATTATAGCATGACATCTTTTATAGAAAGGTGTAATGGATGTTCATCTTATATGCCTCTGAATTAAAGATAGATGAGTTTAAAATCTAGAGTAATCACAAAAAAATATTTTCTGTCTGCATCAAGGCCAAGAAATTGGGACAGAGGCAGGACATAGGTAAGAGAGATTCAACGACTTGAAATGATAGCCATCGCAAAACTAAAACTACATGTCACGTACTCTGTTCTTCGCTTGTGAGATCAGAGGCTTTAGAATTGAAGCTTAGAGTATCAACTAGTCCAAACCTTTCATTTTCTGGAATACTGATATAACCGAGACCACACGTACTGGTGGAAGCTGGTCTAAAATCTAGGCCTTTGGGTCCCCAGTCTAGTATTTTTGTCTCTTGTACCAATTACTTTATTTATATTCTGCTATTTCTTCCTTTCTTTTTAATTTCAGTGTGTTTTTGAGAAGAACAGTCAACTCCTTTAAGATGTACTGAGCACTTACTGTCAGGCATGAGGCTGACATCACTTACAGCCCAGAGGGGAAGATAGACATTTTGGAAAGTCACACAATGCTGAGTGCTCTGATAAATACAGAGGTCTGTGAATGTTTGGGAGAGTCAGGGAAGGGTCTGAGCAGAAGTGAGATTTAATCTGATAGTTTAGAGAAAGACTAGGAATTACCGTGTTTTATTGAATCTGAGATACTGTCAACTGTATATTGTGCATTATTTTATGTACTGCTTAGAAAGAAAAACATTGCCAGTTAAACTGATACAGACAATAAGATGCACTCCAGTTTTAGAAATGTGTCTTAGAATTGGTGATACATGGTGGTTAGATAGAAGAGAGAGGAGCAGTGGCCCCAAGGTGGGAAGTCAGCGTGTGAAGTTAGAGGCTGTGTTTGGAAAATGGGAGTAGGGGCATCTGACTGCTCAGGACCTTGTGGGCTCTATCCAGAGGGCTATGGGAGCCTGGCAGGATGCTGCACCAGGGGGAGATCTGAAGTGGGTGACGGATCAGAAACAAACAAGCTCTTCTAGTGTTCCAACAGGAGATTGGTGCTGGGGCTCTGCTCGCATCAGCAGGAATGAAAAGGCAGATGAGCTTGAGGGATATTTAAGGGAGACATTTAAGTGCTAGAAATGTCAGTGATCAGCGGTCAGTTAGATGTAGGTTGGGGAAGATAAAGGGAAGAATCAAGGATGGAGCCAGATTTCCGACTTGAAGCTATCTGCTGGGAGAGCGATGGGGAGACCTAGAAGAAGAGGGGGGCCAGAAAGCTGATGAGTATTTGGGGAATGCTGATTTTGGGTGCCCGTGAGACATCCACATACAGATACCTGTAGCCTCCTGGGACTCAGATAGTGAGCACGGAGTTGATAAGGGAAGCTGGGGGAGTAGAGCACACGACCTGGATTGAGTGTATGAGCAGAGTGTCCGCAACAGAACCTTGAAGAAGGGCGGATGAGGGAGCTGCCAAGAGGAGCAGGAAAGAGTGGCCAGAGAGGCCAGAGGAAATCCAAGGAAAGACTCCCAGTGTCACGGGGGCCCAGGACGAGAGTGCGTCAGGATGGCCGGAGCGGCTGTCTCTGATAAAGACAACCTGAGGTCAGGAAGGTAAAGCTCAGAATGTGGTGTCGGGTTTTAGCTTCAAGGAAGCTGTGGTCAGTACCGGCAAAGAAGGGGGTGAGGGGCTGGATAAGGGGCAGGTGGCAGGTGAGGAAGCCGCAAGAGGTAGTATAAACGCCCCAAGAAGCCTGACGGGAGAGGAGACACCTCGGGAGGTAGTTGGGCAGCGGGGCGAGGCGTGGGGTCAAGGAGAGTAGCAGCTGTTAGCGTCTTTGCCGATGGTAGAGATTCGTTCATGTCTAAATGCTGGTGCAGAGGAGCTAGTTGCAGAGTGAGCCCACAGTCTCTGGGCAAGTTAGAGGTCGAGAATTTGCTTTTCTCCCCTCACACAAACACAAGTATATGAATTCTCTTTTTTGTGTGTACACAGTGATATCCATTATACTAAGCCCTGACTGGAAAAAAACAAAATTCATTATTTATAAAACAAAGAATTAATCAAAGACTCACTCTTATGCTTTGGGCCTTTCTTTCTGCTCTGGAGAGTGTCATGGGTTGAAGCCCAGGGCACACAAAACCCCTGAGATGGGGTCCCATGGAGGGAGGGCACTGTCTCACATTGCCTCTCTGGCACCATTGATTGTAAGATGCGCCAGTATTTCATGTACTACTAAGAAAGGAAAAAACACTGCCCATTAACCAATGTGTCATTGAGGGAAAGACATCCACTCTAAATGATGTTAAATAGGGAGAAATGTGAGCCTTGGAGTTGGTGCAATACGATAGTGGCCTCATGTAGGAGCAGTGGAGTGTGGGACTGAGCGTGTGATACTCATGTGTTTGTAGTGGCAGAAACTTGAAGTTTGCACCTGTTGGCTTTTCCTTTCTTCTGGAGAGTCAAGTCAGGGTTCATCTTGTGGGGATGCGGAAGGAGATACAGGTACTGGCAGCCTGAGAGAGGAAGGTGTTTGAAGGAGCCATTGCCAGCAGTGGAACCAGGCAGACCCGGGAAGTGTGGGGTGATCAGGAAGCCCCGAGGGTGTCCCAGGATGAGGGGACGTGAACTCACGCTGGTGACACCAAACTGCATGGTTTTGATTTCTTGAGAGAGTCAAGGGTGAAAAGAGTGGACATTGGCTTCATCTAGGACGGAGGGTTTGCCCGGCGGGGCAGCAGAAGAACTGGGCGGAGGCCTCGTGGACGCAGGTTGTGCAGACGGCGTAGGGTCGCAGGTGGACAGCGGGACGCGTGTTGGGAGATGAGGCGTGCAGGCCAGCAGAGCGGGCAGTAACATCCAATGTCCTCCCCCAGTGCCGACTGGAAATGTTTTTATGATGTTACCTATGCATGCAAGATATACACAGAACTGAGGATGAACTTGTTTTGCCCATGTCTTACTCAGCTGTAAAACCAAGGACATTTGCAGATTAAGTAGAAGAAAAGATGTTTTCAAATGACAAGACAAAATGTAATTGTTCTGGATAGTGATGTTACAAGTTCAGGATGTAAATGACTGTTGAGACTCAGATTCTTTCGCACTTGACGTGTCTGTACTCCGTCTGCATGCAGAGTTGCTACTCAAATCCCCTTTTTTATTTGGCATGCCTATCACTCCGCTCTCCTCCTTTTTTCTATTTAAACTGCTGTGAAAATTTTGTTTATGCAACATACTCTGATACATTTTGGCTTTCACTTAATGCGAATGCATCATTTGCTAATTAGCCCACCTGCACTCCTTTACAGTAAATCTGTGACAATATAGTAGCACTATAGACACCATCACCATGAACGCTTTCATTATTCAGATAACCCAGAATACACCAAAATACGTATTTTTAGGTTGTCATCAGAACTGAAACAAAAATATATATAAATTCATGGACATCTGACAGTTCCTTCATTTAAGAATCACTGACCAAGAACAGTGGTTCTCAAAATGTGATCCAGGGACCAGCAGCATCCCCATCACCTGGGAACTTGTCAGAAATGCAAAGTCTTCCTTCCAACCTGCTGATTTCCTTGGTAGGACCTGGGAATGGGGCTTGACTCAGCCTGAGTTCAGGCTGATGCAAGTGGAAGTGTGAACTGCTGACCTAACTTAATCACCCATTTTACAGATGAGGGAACTGTGGCCCAAAAGTTACTGCCCAAGATTGCACTTAGTTCACAGGAAAACTGGGTCTCAAACCCGTAACTCTGGGCTTTAGTCCAGTTCTGTTTCTAAAGCACTACATTGTCATTTCTCAGTTTTTATTTTGTTTTCTTTGGTTTGGGTTGTGTTTTAAGGAGGTGTATTGGGTTCTAAAGTTTTGGGTTCTCATTTTGTTCCTAATAGTGCCAGAACCTACTAAGACCTGTTCAAGCCAGCCCCAAGCTGCCGGCACCAGTACCAGTACTTCCACCAGCACTCTCTCCAACAGTGGCAATGGCAAACGCGGATCTGCCAGCAGCCAGCAGCAGCCAGCTGCATCCCGCTACCTGCCACGCGAGGTGCCTCCACGCTTCCGCCAGCAAGAACACAAGCAGCTGCTAAAGAGAGGTCAGCCATTGCCTACAGGGGCTCTGCCCAGTGTGAGCCCAGCCCAGGGTGCTGGGCCCGCAGGGGTAAGCCCCCCTCCCCTCCCTGGAGCCGGAGCACAGCAGCATCCCAGTAAGCTCCAACCAGGTAAAACCACAGAGAATGAGGCTTGCCTCTTATCTGAGAACTGGTGTGCTATGTTCAGCTTTGCTGCCCTGCAACAAAAAACAGACGTAATTTTGGTCCATACTCTCTATGTACATAGAGTAGAGCTAGCTAGCTAGAAAGGTGATAGATAGATTCACTTAATTGAATTGGAAGTTTAATTTTGTTTCCCTTACTTACTTACATCATTTCTCATGTATTTTCAGATATGACATAGCATTAGCTATGTCAGCCAAGTTCATTTCTCACCAGAAGTTAAAGGTCTGTACACAGTACGTACAAATCTGTCAAGGTAGATGCTTTAGAACCCTGCAGTGAAAACTTGTAAATAAACCCTCTTCTCTCAGTTTACTAGGCTGTCTCGAGTGCACACACACATTCTTTGTAGGAGGTGACAGCTCCGCAAAGAACTGTTGATGAGGAGTGGGTGTTTGTAACTCACTCAGACACTTTGAGCTAAACCTGCCTGATTTCTCCTGCGCTCAGCCCAGCGCTGTCGGGCCTTCTGACCCACCTGCTCCTTGTTGGTCTCCTTGCCTGCAGCTAGAGACTAGCCTTTTTCTTGGTTCCAGGAGAAGTCGCCACTTAATTTGCTTTCCAGCTTCCAGAGGGCTGATGTCTCTCATTTCCCATCTCTCCTGTTCCTGTTTTCTTGACCTGTGGATCTATACTTTTAAAATTTTCTTTAGTAAAGTTTTACGGAAATTTCTGGAAGAGGACAAAGTGTTCAACTGCCATGTTTCTCTGTTATTTTCCTAAATCTTCCTGTTTCAAGTAACTAACAATTGGCCTTGGTTCTAGTATGGAAACCATATTTGCTAATGATAGTGAAATTGAGGTCTGTAATTGGAGAAGCGAGGAGGCTTCTTATATTAGGTTGGAATTTAAAAGAAACATGTCACAAGTATATTAATATTTGTTTTCTTTCATATGCTGCTTTTTAATTTGGAGAATAATTTCCACATGACCTGAAAGTATTTATAGTGGTATTTCTCAAAACCATAACTTTATGGTATATTTGGAACAAATATTTTTAAACAACTTCTCTATGTCTCCTCAAATAGTCTTGACTCTCACCTGCTAAATTCCTGGTAGAGGGGATGTAGGTTCATCACTGTTACAAAAACGTAAGGAAGGGAAGAAATAATCAGATATATTCACTAACCAAGATTATAGTCCCATCTTCTTAGCTGCAAGCAGTTTATAATCAGAAAATTACTTGCTGCACTGAAATACTGCCCTCAGGAGAATCTTAACAGACAAAGATTGTGTAGTCATTCCTGAATCGCTTGGTGTATTAATTTAAGATGCTTATTCTGAAAAACAAAAAGAGATGTGACAATTCTGCTTTTTGCTGGGCCTATCTCATAGTTACATGATTAGTTGGCAATAGTGCATCGATGTTCTCAGCAGATGCTGCTGACACAAGATATTACTGGTGTCTTCTTGGATAACTAGAAACTTATCAAGAAATTGATTCAGTAAAATTTCGGTATGAAAATTAAATTTTAAAGCTATTCCTAGCTCTTTATACTTTTTAAATATCTATATTGAAAACTAAATCATTTAAAAACATCTCAGACAATGGAATCAATTTATATAATATTAATAAAATAAGAATTCATTGATGTGGGGTTCCCAAATGAAAGTCTTCATTTTATACCAGTTTCATCTCTTCCCCAGTAGCTCTGGTATCAGCTGGATGTCACCTTTCATTGATTCAGAAGTCCCCTCAAAACCCTGGTTTCCTAGAGCCTGAGGCACAAAGTCTGTGTCTGCCTGGCTGTTGAGGCCCTTCACAGCCCTGTCTAGGTGACGTTTCTCTTTCCGTTCCTCATGGCCTCTCCTTCTAAATGGGGTTGTTCGCTGACTGTCTCACAGACACGCTCAGTGCGGTCTTTCTCAGTACACATACACACCTCGACACCGATTCAGAATGAGGAACTTCTCCAGCACCAAGGTGACAGTTTGTGACTCCACTTGAACAGTCTCCTGTGGGTGACACCTCTCATAGGAAACACGGGCACTCAAACAGGCGTGCCAAAGCAGCCAGGGCAACAAAGGCCTAGAAACACTGTGTAAGGACGGGAAAGGAATTGACTGGCAGAGCAGAAGTACTGAGTGCGGGCAGTGTCAGCCCTGCGGGAGACTGTCCAGTACCCCCCCACCTCCCCCCACCCCACTGCCCAGCTCCAAAGAGACATGCCCACGAGTCCCCCAGGTAGAAGGGCTCCTCCCAGCCCTGGTTCTGGGCTCACTCTTTCAGTAACAAGTTTGTCCTGATGTAAAACATTGGCCTTCTAATAGAATAATAAAGGGGGAAATGGATATTTAAATTCATATATTGATTTGGAGGATAAATTGATTTGACTCATTTAGCCAATTGGCAAAAAATTTTAACTGGTGAGATAAATTACATACTGTTAGTATGTAAATGTATATAACATGACATTATTAAGGTTCTAGAAAAATATCATTTGTTATTTTCTATTGACTGTCTTTGCAAATCTGCAGCATAACTCCAGCTTGAAAAACTTGAGAGCCTTTATCTTTTTTTAAAAAAAAGCCCTTTAATTGTGCTAAAGGCAGAAGTATTGCTTTGGCAGTTGCTTTGTGCATTTATAAACAGAGGCTTTGATTAATATGCAGTAGTGTTTGCTACTTAGATCTTTTTTAGATAGAGGCAGGAGAGTAGTTAAGAAGTTGGACACTTGCCAGCTTACATATGGGCTCTTTTGGGCTCTTACAGCTCGTGTTGGTGTGCCAATTGTTTAGGGGGTGTTTAGCAAAAGCGGGAAAAGAGAAGGAACCCAAAGCAAAGGCACAGAAGAACTGTGGTTTGTTTGTGTGCAGCCAGTGGGCAAGATGCCCTTTCTTTTGGCTGATTTCCACAGGAAGAGCAGCTTTGGTGGTGCTCCCTGTAACTGGGGTCCTGGAGTGAAAATGTGTGTGACCAGGAACTTACAGTGGAAAAAAAATTAGTTTAGTGTCAGCTGCAGTTAGATCATCAAAGCTTTCGAATCCTCTCTGCAACGCCTGTGCCCAGTTGAGTGGGTCCTTGAGGGGGTGCATGGTCATGTCCTGGAGTGCAGGGGCACCGCCAGCTCCCGCTGCAGGTGACCACAGGCCCACACAGGGGCGGCCCTTATGGCTGGAGTGGCCTGGCCCGGCATCCCCGAGCCCCAGGCCCTCCTTCGCCCCACTGTGTACGTGTATTGCTCTTCTAGTGCCTCCCCCACCCTGGGGGATGCCTGCACATTTTACTGCCATCTTGAAGAACACAGGACAAAAAGCTTATTCTTGTGGACACTTTGATTATTGTTTTCAGTAAACCTTTTACTCTATTCTGTATTTCATAATCCCTTGCATTTATAGAAGGTGACAGATGAAATGTTTCAGAGTCTGTCCAGCAATGGAAATCTGAATTCTAAGTACTTTATCCATGAGGTTTTTACACAGTGTAAATGCAGTGGAGGGGAAGGTGCCTTTGGTTCTCAAAGCTAAAAACAGTTCTTAACATTAATCTTGTCCCTTGAAAACCAAGTGGCAAGGAGTTTGTGTTATCAGCAAGCATGTATTTCAGCTATGGGAAGCATTTAGAATTGTTTTTTGTAATGTATAGTTTATTCTTCAATTTCAGTTAAAAGGATTGTGGTGATAAAGAATGAATTACGTTCTATTTATCAGTGGGTACTGGTTAAGCATTCTGCCCTCCTCTGACTAAATCTAGTCCATACTTCCCTCTCTGATTAATTTGATACCTAATTAAAATTTTGCTTATACTGTGGCTTTTGGAAGCTTCTTATTAAATACTTTTCCTTGAAAATTTTATCTTTATATTGTAACATCTTGGAATTTAAGAACAAAAAAGAAAGCTTTTCAAAGAGGGCATTACGATTAGCATGTATAGTGGGGGGTGCACGGGGAGGGCTGTGCAACACAGAGAAGACAAGTAGTGATTTTACAGCATCTCACTAGGCTGATGGACGGTGACTGTGAAGGGGTATGTTGGGGGGACTTGGTGGAGGGGGGAGCCTAGTAAACATAATGTCCTTCATGTAACTGTAGATTAATGATACCAAAACTAAAAAAAAAAGAAAGCTTTTCTCTTTAAACTATGCTATTGCCTAATCCTTTTTAATTTAGTCACTTAGTTATAGTACTTAGATTTTATACACCTATTTTTAGAATGTATAAACCATTTCAACAACAGAAGAAAAGAGAATTTAACATACACAAACTTCATTACTGTTTTTTAAGGCTTTTTTTATTGGAAATTATTTTGGTAATGATATAGTAGAAAGAGCACTAGAATTGTATTCTGAAAATGCAGGTTTCGGTTCCATCCTTACTGCTTATTAATTACCACACCTTTGCCAAGTTTGACTTCGCCAAGCCTCTGTTTCCTCATCTGTAAAATAGGCATGATATGTAAGGTTCAGTTAATTTAGTGTGTGGAAATACTTGAATGTCAAGGGCTATAAAGTATGTGCTATCCTATGGGTATGTGGACTCTTGCTTGGAAACTCTCAGACCTGCTGCACAGCAGATGTGTATGGGCTTTGGCCTTTTAAAGCTCCCGGGCTGTGCAGGAGAGCCTAGACTACCTGCAAGAGAATCCAATCGTGGCTAATCTCAGAGCTTTCATTCAGTTCAGAGCACCTGCTGCTAGAAACCAGTTATTTCACAATTTTTTTCACCTACTTCTATATTTTAGCCTATTACTCAAAGAGGAATTTGAGCATTGATGACATAGTCAAGAGACTTTGTTTTATGAAAAGCATGTTATTCATATATTGGTGAAGTCAAAATTTTCCTATGGAGAATGGTGTGATTTAAACATAAAGAGAAAACATACATTTTCATTTTTGGAATAATTCTAACATCAGAATATGTGGAGGTGGTGGTGGTGGCGATGATGATAATGCTGGTGATGGGGTTGGGGATGGTGGTGGTGGTGATTGTGGTGGTGATAATGCCAG